CTTAATAGGCCAGGAAACCCAACAGTGGAAATACTCAACATAAAAAAGGTTGACAGAGTGACTTGAGTGGTAGAGTGCCTGCTGAGCAAGAGTAGGGCCCTTAGTTCAAATGCCAGTCCCTTAAGAATAAATAAAAATGAAAAAAACTCTATGTTAAGTAAGGGTCACTCAAGTAGCAGAAACATTCAGCAGACTACTCTGTCTTACAAACCTTTGTAGAAATATGTGAGTCTTTTTTGTACATGAATATTTTGGCTTTTAAAATTAAAGTCTGTCTTATGATTGTAGAAAAGAAAGAGTACAAACACCAAATGTTGGTGAAGATCCAGAAAAACTAGAACTTTTATACAATGGTAGTGGGATTGTAAATTAGTAAAACCATGATGGAAAGTATATGAAATTGCTTAAAAGCTAAAATTAGATTTAGTGTACAATCCGATGATACCAGTCTTGTGCATATAAATGAAAGAACATAAGCTGTGATAAAAATAGAGACATTTGCACTCCTATGATTATTGCAGCAGTATTCACAATAATCAAACTAAGGATGCAGCCCACATGTTGAAGGACTGCTGAATGGATTAATAAAATGTGTTATATGTACACAATGGAGTATTATTTGGCCATAAAGAAGAATCAAATTATGTAGTTTGCAGGTAAATAAGTAGAACTGGAGGTCATCATGCTAAGTGAGGTAAGGAAGTTCTGAAAGACAAGCATGTTTTCTCACAAATGTTTAAAGATAAATGCATACATAAATGCAAGTATGATCATATATATAATATTTTTTGTAATAGTTTGACTGTTTAGGTAGACTCAGGTGGAAGAGGGAGATGCAAAGAGTGAACAATATTGAAATACATTGTTTCTGTGTAGGAAGATGACACAACACATGCATGAAATGGCGTTGAATAATATGTGGTGGGGAGAAAGGGTAAGTGAGAGTAATGAAGGGGTTTAATCTGATTAACATCCAGTATATTCACAGGTGAAATACTATGGTGAAATCCCTTTCAACAGTGAAAATACACTTAAAAAATGAAGGGCAGGACTGTAAAACAGGACCAGTTAGGGGGTAAGTATGAGTGGGAGGGGTCAGTGTAAATAGAAGTTAAAGGAGGGTGAGTGTGGTCAATATACTTTATTCACATATCTGAAAATAGAGCAATGAAACCTGTTGAAATAATTTTAAGTGGGGATGGAGAGGGATGCACGAGAGATGGGGTGGGAGGATTCACCAATCCAAGGTATATTGTAAGAATATTCAGAAATATAATGAACACCCCTGTAAAACTATTATATACTACTCAACTATTTAAATGTGAAAAATAAAATAAACACTGAGCTATTAAAAATGAATACACTCTAGCAATATTTACAAAATTTAATTATTCAATGATCATAGCAAAGATTTTCATGGGTATAAAGCAGCAAAAAATGTGTGAAGACAAGACTGTATTTAAGCTTCTGAATTGGGCTGAGTCACATTTTAAAATTTCACATCACTCCAAGACCCAGTGCTCCAATTGAAATATTTGCATGTACTTACAAGAAAGGTTAAAATCTACAACTTCATGGAATTAGTAGAATTCAGGGGCAAATGTGTTATAGACTATTTAAATGAGCTTTTAGATATATTTTAGGTAAATTTTAAATAAAAGTATATACATATTCATATGTCATGGAGACACTAAAAACAAAATATCAACACAAAATACAACATAGCAATCAACTATGGGAAGAAGATGTTCAGGAAAATTGATTTATGCAGAGGATAATTTGTATTATTTGGATAATAATACAAATATCTACATAATGTCAATACTGGAGCACACATTATTAAATGCTTAAATTTTAATAGAAATACTTACCATTTCTGACAGTAAGAATATGTAATATTAATGGGCTATTTCCTCAATACCAGGAAACATTCTAAGGTAGTTTTTCTCATCCCTGGTTTAAAAAAGGAATTCTAAGTAGTAAATATGAAGATGTTCTGATTACATAGGTTTAAGTTTTAGGCAATGGTATCCACATAATCTTAAAAATTTACAGGTAAGTATATTAGTGAATAAATCTTAGAACCATTAATTTGTATGTTTTTAAGGGGTTTTATTTTGAAATATATAGTTTTGTCTCAACACTATATTCTATGGAATTATTATCTGCATTGTACAGGTGAGGAAACTTCTCAGATGTGTTTAGATTATTTCCTGTACTTTTCTCTTTGCATTTCTTGCAACTGAGTCCTAGTGAGAGAAGATCAATAAACCTAAGTATCCTTCAGGGAGCTGAAGCAGGAAAATGTCAAACTATGTGTTATAAATTGTTCATGTAAAATAACTTAGCAATACATAAGAAGACTGAGACTCAATTGGGGACTATTGAGCCTGCCTTAGAGTAAAATTCTCAGCCATAAACAGGGGTACTTAGTATACAAAGAAACAAACCAGAATTAGCAGCCCAATGGAGCATACAGAAGAAAAATTACAAATAAGAGCTATCTTTTTGCCACATCTTTTAATGAGAATGAATTGGATTGGTAAAAGAAAATAGTTTAGCCACTATGGAAGTCAGTGTGCAAGTGTCTGAAAAAAACATAGAAATTGAACTTCCATGTGATCAGCCATACCATTTCTGGGTATATATCCCAAACAATAAAATCCATTTTATTATAAAAAAATGTGTAGTTGTCACTGCACTGTTCACAATACCAATACATGGAACCAGCCTTGGTGGGATGAATGATATACTGCTGAATTTGATGGCCTATGACCAGTTTGTAGCCATCTGTCACCACCTGCATGCCCTGTCATTGTGAATGCTCATATTTGTGGATTATTTTGATCCCTTTTTTGACTAGTCTTTTGGATACCTAGCTGTACAATTCTATTGCCTTACAATTTACCTTCAAAGAAGTGGAAATTTCTGATTTCTGCTGTGAGACTTTGCAACCACTTATTCTTTCTTTTACAGGCACAATCTCCATTAACATTGTCAAGAATTTTCCAGGTATCTTGTTTTTCCCAATCTCATGGATACAGCCCTCTCAATATAAAAATTTTCCCTCATTTCTTAGAACCTCATTCCAGGGGAGATGTATGAAAACTTCTACATCAGAGGATCTTAACTGTAAGATTTGGCTTTTATTTTGGAATAAAAAAATAAAATGTATCTTCATTCAGTCACCACATTCTGTAAGAAATGATTTGTTGGACTGAAACATGTACATTGTGGTCTTGAAATAAGCTGAATCCTATTATCAGCAGCTTATCAGCAACCTGATAACCAGGGATTTTAGAAATGCCTAGAGAAGAATTATACCAAAACTGTCTAACCAGTAGATCCCCTAGAAATCACTTTAATTTTAAAATGGAGAGATGACTAAATTAAACATGTACACGTATACATTATCCCTCATTGGTTAAATCATTTGTGCAATTTAATGTCTTTAATTTCTCATCCTGTTCCAAAGTCGAATGGTGGTAGACAGTGTTAGAGTAAGATAAATGGGGAGTCTTTTTTATGGTTGATCCGAAATTTTCATATATAAAGAAGAAAATTTTCTGGCAATGGCTATTTTTTATAATTTTTATTAGTATGTATCAATTACATGGGGGGAATTCATGGTGACAGTTCTGATTAGTCTGGCAGTGGCTGTTTGTAATTGGTAAACAAATTGTGAGTTTAATTAATGAGAATGTGTTATATCTGACAAATATGAAAGATATAATGTTTTGAATTTGAATTGTTCCATAAGTAAAATGGTAAAAATGGCAAGGTCATAAGTGAGATAAGCCAGACTCAGAGAGACCTGTACCCCATGTTTTCTCTGTTATGTGACCTGTTGAAATCACCATAAGAAGGGGACAAAGTAGAAAGGAGAAAAATAGAGAGGATGAACCAATTTTGGCTATAATACATATACACATGGAAATGTCATAATGAAGCACCCTATAATGCTATTTTAAACAAACAAAAATGACACATTTTTTACAAAATCAGAGAAGAAGAGGGCAGAGAAGGTCCTGTCTGAGGGGTTGGTAACAGTGAGAAGGGGGAGCATGTGGGGAAAAAGTATAGGAGAGTGAATGTGTTGTAAATATTGTGTACATTGACATGTAATGGAAAAATGAGACTTGTTCAAACTGCCCCAGGAATGGCAGAAGGAGGGAAAAAGAATAATGATGGAGGGGGTGAATTCAACTATGATATTTTGTAAGACCTTTTATAACTGCCACAAGGTACCCCCAGAATAACAATAATAAATAACAAAAATAAAATAAAATGATCAATGATCCCAAAGAAATTTTGTATATGTTGACAATCTCTGTAGATATTTACCATGTTAAAAATTAAAATTTGCAAAATTTTTTAAAACAAGTACCACCAGAACAAAAGAGGAATAGGAAGGGGACCAACAGGAAGGGATGGGGACAGAAAGATTCAAGGGGAGGGGGAAGGTAAATGCTATGAAATTACTCATATACATGTATTAAAATGTCAATGAAACCAACTGTTTTGTCTAATTAATATACAATATATTTTTATTTTTTGTATTTTTTTGTAATTTTGCTGGGTGTGCATTGTGACATTTACAAATGTTCTTACAATATTTTTAAATACAAATGTTTATTTAAAAAAGAAATGAGTGGAACACATAAGGTTCCTCCTGAGTAGAGGAAGAGGGCAGAATTATTTTGGACATTCATTTCAACCTCTTTTACTTTTTCCATTAATGTTAAGAAATCCTAAGGGAGTGGGATACCCTGGATCAATTTGTGTGATTATAAGCTCGGTGACTTGAGCCTCACAGGTCATAAATAGTTAATACTCAGTCTGTCCCTCAAGCCATTCAGTTCAATGCTTGAGGCACAATTCACTTCATAATTGTGTCTCCTCATCTCTCTAGAGCCTACATCAGGAGAATCCTATCTGACCCTGCTTTCATATCAATCCTGGGGACTAAACCTGTGTCTTTCTTTGGATGCCTGGCAGTCATGACCTGTCAAAGCCACAGTGTAAATAAGTAAGTAGTGAGGGAGATAAAGATGGAGGATGACCAGAAGCATTATTTCCTCATCATTAGAGAAAATTTGTGTAGATGGGAATATATGTCAGGATATTGACTATGAATTTTTTATTACTATTTGTGATTGTTCTCCCAGAAATCTTCAGTGAAATTTTTGCTTTATTCTGACTGTGCCTCCACTTCCCACAAATATTTCAACTAGGATATAAAATGGGTGATGCTGAACTGTGCCCTTATCATTTCAAAAACTTTATGAAGGTGATGAATAAGGTAAGAACAAGGATGAGGATAGTGCCCATAAAATCTTAAACAATTATTGACACTTTACTGTTTGCCAGGGTCTGTTCTATGCTTTCCATGTCCTGTGTTTTAATCCTGCTCTACAGTTACAAGTCAACATCATGTTTATTAAACTGAAAAAAAAAGCACAGCATTTTCATGTAACATATGCTAGATTTTTAGACTAAAAACCATTAAGATAGAATAATGAACTCACTCAGAATTATAAAAAGAAAGGGAGTGGGGAAGAGTGATAGAGGGGGAGTATGATCAAAGTCCATTATATTCATGTAAGGAAATATCAAAATAAAACCTCCTTATACCATTAATATACTAAAAATACAAATTTTGAAGGCACATTTTTAATAAGCAGCCTGATCACATTCACAGGGAAAACTGGACAGGAGCATCCAGTTAGGTTGTCATATGACTAAAGCAACTAGCCATTTCACTGTCTCATCAGTGTCACTCCAGGATAAAAATCCATTGCTCACTGTGGTCTTCCATTTGGGGGGTTCCTGAGAAGCAACATAATAGAGCAGTGTATACCATCTGGTGTAAAACTGATAAGAAGACTGGCTTAGCTCATCAAAAAAGGTCACAAAAATGAAAGAAAATCACTCAGCATAAATCTCTCTCTTTCCCCTACTCCAACATGTCTGTGCAGCTTGGAACATTCTCTACATTTCTTGGAATCAGCTCACTCCATCTCAAAAGGAGTCTTAAGTAAAATTGCGATTTCCTTTCTACTTAAGAAATGGAGAACAGTTTTAATATGTATTTGAGTTGTATCTGTGCTTATGACATTTGTATTTGTGTCTGAAAAATTTCTTATGATTGGGAAACAGTAAAAATAATTAGTACAGTTTACTCAGAAACTGACAAGTTATTTTTAATTTTGCTTGTGAAAATGTCTCTATGAAAAGCACCAGGATTTGCTATTTCAGAGACCCATCATTATCAGCTGAGTTGATATCTTTTTGACACCCCTATATAGGAAGCACAAAACAGTTTTAGAGATTTGCCATGTTACAAATTGGTGATGAATGTATAATACAAGGATAAATACAATGTACCATTATTTTTAACATTGCAGATAAAGTTTAACTTCTGGATTCTACTAAAAGATTCCAGGAGCTGAAGTTATCAATTAGGAGATACTCTATTTTTGTCTTTGCTATATTATATGAATGTTGGTGAAGACTGGCTACTTTTCATTTCAGATTTTCTTAATCCAATAACTTGTTTGGGCTTGGGGGTTGAATGAACACTGAAAAAAATCTATCAGGCAAAAAATAAAACATTTTTGGTTCCCAAATTTCTCCAAATCATTGTGGCTTCACCATATGTGTGTATTGTAGAAATGAAGAGATTAAATATCTCTTTTCTGTTTCTACTTTATTCATGCATGCCCCTTTAATTATTTAAATTGCATCAAAATAATTCAATTAGGAAAGATAAATGTGCAGAAATTTTCATGGTAATAAAAATAAAGAAAAATAGGTGCAAAGACTAGTAGGAAGATAAAACTTACTTAGACCTGAACACTTTTTTCAAATTTTATGTTCCAAGTTTGTAGTGTCCTGTGACTGCTATAATCACAAATAAACTGACCATGTTCTTAATGATTGAGTTATTTATTTTAAGCAACCATAATGACCAAATATTTAAAACTTTCTAAACCTATATTGCATACCATATGTGTTGTGGAGATGGCCGGTATTGTCCTACCTCCATCCCTATCTGTTATGCAGTATGATCACAGAGTCGTGGTGTGATTTACAAGCGTTTTTCTTATGGTAGCATATCCTCTATAGGAGAATAAATTATGGACTTCCTTATCGCTACCCCAGAGAAAGAGAGACAAGTGAAATGCTATCCTATATGTTATTAGAAAGTTTGAAAGGACAATTACCAGAATTATATCCAAGATATTTTTGATGATACATATTAAAAAGTGTACGTAGCTCAAAATGACAGCATTTTTTTGTGATAACAAATTCAGATGATTTATAATTCAACTGAGTATGAATCAATTATTCCTGAGAATCAAATAACCATTTTCCCCTCGCATAATTTGGGGAAATTCTCAATTCATGATGTCAATTGAAGCAACAGTATTTAAAAAAGGTTGGTCTTAATTATACAGAGACAAGTTAAATCATGTTTCTACTTCTGGTAATATGGATTATTATATAAGTCATTTGAAGTAACCATACATACTTTACAAAGACTTAAACCTAAATGCTGGTGTATACTAGTTTATTTCAAGTTGTGTTTAATACTGATTGAGTTTCAGAGGCTCTCTAGGTAATTTCTTAAGGAAACACAAATCAGTATGGATGTGGACAAACTGAGAAAAAAATTTGTTCATGACAGTAGTATCCTATGGGGAATGAATGTGTGGGAGATTAGAATCATGTAGTTACACCAAACACTCAAGTTTCAGAGGTAACAGTTCATGTCTCACTAAAATATTAGTTACATAGCAAATACTACCAATTGTTCATATTTTCATATTGATTTTCATTTTTATTAGCAGTAATATGAAGTCAAATTAATGACCTATTATCTAAATGCCTGATAATACTCAGTGGCAATGGATCTTATCTTGGTGCAAGAACGAACTTCACATACAGACATGTTGATCACACTGGGCCAGAGAGTCTGGACATTTAAAATATCACCAGATAAATATATTAATAAATTATACTAAAAGAACTGATGTGTACAATTATTTTGTAATGCTGGCTATCAGTGCCAGGGTTTCAGACAAGCTATGTAAGAGCTCTACCACTGAGTCACACCTCAGTTCTCAATATTTTAAACTTTTGTAAAAATATGTGCATAAATTAGGTATTTTTGTCATATTGAAAATAATGAAACTTCTATGTCTAGTTACACTATACCCTGAGTTTCCTCTTTTGCACTGTTTCTAAATTATAGTGTGAGCAGACAAAAAAAATGAGTCCAGATTGCCTTTCCATTGCTGAAATAAGAGAACTGCAATCCTTATACATGGAAAAATTGACATGAAATGAAAAATGGCCAATAATTATATGAAAAATATTCAAGTTTGGTCACTAGGGATATGAATATCACTATTGTATTGAGATTTCATCTGATCTCAGTCTATTTATCAAAAAAAAAGGAGCAGCAGAAACTAAAAAAGTCGTCATTTATGAAAGTAAAAGCAACCCTTAACCAATGCTTTGGAGAATATAAATTAGCCCAGCACTGTGCAAATCAATGTGGAGTGTCCTCAAAAACTATAACTCCAGATTCCATATTCCACTCCTGGGTATACACCGAAAAGAGTCAAAGTTGCTTTTATACTCATGTTTACCACCCCAGAATTCACAAAATACAAGTTATCAAACCAGCCTTGGTACTTACCAACATAAGAATGGTTGAAGAAAAGTGATATACGTATACAATGAGTCTATTGTTATTCATCTACAAAGAAGAACAAAATTATAATATTCTTAGGAAAATGGATGAAACTGGAGATCATCATGTTAAGGTGAAATAAACCAGACTTGGAAAGAAAACATTACAAGTTTTCTCGCACAGGTAAAATTATGACATAAAACTAGAAGGGTGACCCTTAGAGAAGAGAATAATAGGAGTTGTATGGGAAGGGGAAGGGAGAGTAATAGGGTTGGATGTGGTCAAAATATGTTATATTCATGATTCAAAACATCAAAATGGTGTTAGAGCTTGCACCTGTGAAGCCCTGAGTTCAAACTCCAGTGTCATGAAAAAAATCATAATGAAACAAATATTCTATATAATAGATATGCACTAAAATTGGGCAATATATTGACTTGGGCCATGAAATTCAGGGCTCAAACCTTGAGTTTGGAGTTGTGCATGGTGTTAATGTCCACTTGTAAATGATATCATTTGTTAGCAGATAAACATGAAAGAAACTTACAAGGTCACTTCATAATGTAAAATGCAAAAAAAAATAAAAATAATAAAAAATGTAAACAACATTTAAAAATATCTGTGTTTGCAACAGATTTATTAGTGGGTTTCTATGACAACATCAGTAAAAGTTGACAATATCTGTAAAAATGAATAATTCCTATGTTTTTCTTAGCATTACATTAATTTTACTCATTTTCTAGTGAAGTGTACACTAAAGCATACTTGCAATAAATAATGTCATGATTACATACAGTTAGGTGAACAATATTCATAAAGCTTGAAATCTAACAAAGTCAATGAAAAGAATTATATATAAAATACTACTTAAAATTCTCTAATTTTTATGTAGTTTTACACTTGTTTTATTTTTGAGTTAATATCCATTAATAATACATGGGTATTTCACTGTGGTAATTCTATACATGCATACAGGGTATTTTGACCATCTGAACCCTCTCTATTATATTTTCATCCCCCTCTTCCTTCTCCTAAGTTTAGGAATATTGTTTAAAATACTTTTATTGGAGGTTATGGTACTTGAACTCAAGGCAGGTGCTCTATCACTACAGCCTAAACTCCAGCATTCGCACACCCCAAATTCAAATGCATAATTACATGCATAAAGGAAAGAAACCAGGAAGAGTCATGGAAAACCCTTTGGCAATAACTGGCACATAGCATGCTTTTAAATTATCAGCTATAATTTAGTGTTCAGATAATAACACAGCTCTATCTCGTAGGATTTTCAGGAATATTGTAATATTAGAAATATTAAACCTTGCTTTTAATTAAATTCTTTATAATGATTGATTTATGAAATGGGAAATGCTATTATTATTCACATATTTCATATAAGACTAGGCTGTATTTTCTGTGATCAAGGCCTTGTTATCTCTAATTTTGTTGGTTCTCTAGAATTATTCATTTGCGTGTATTCAAAGAAGGTATATGTTGAAGGAACAGAGAAATCAATGATGAAAGAGTTCCAAGAATATTGGATTTATCACAAATGAGAAAATATTGATAAAGTTTATGAAATCCAATAATTTAACTCATTATTATAATTTAATATAATTAAATATATATTTAATTAATATAATTAATATAATTTAATTATATTATTTTCTTTGTTTATTTCACTATTTTTTTCCTATTTTCAAAGATGTCCAAGCAATTTAGAAGGAAAAAATCTAACACATGTATTGGAATTTCAGCTCATGGGTCTTTCAAATGATCCAGAACTGCAGCCATTACTTTTTGGACTATTCCTGACCATGTATCTGATCACTGTGCTTGGGAACCTACTCATTATCCTGATTGTCTGCTTAGACTCCCACCTCCACACCCCCATGTACTATTTCCTCTCCAACCTGTCCTTGGCTGACATCTGTTTCATCTCCACCACATTCCCAAAGATGATTGTGGGCACCCAAATTGACAGTAGGACCACCGCCTATGAAGGCTGCCTGACACAGATGTCATTTTATATGCTGTTTGGAAGTATGGATGATATGCTTCTAACTGTGATGGCTTATGACAGATTTGTGGCCATCTGTCACCCCCTATATTACTCTGTCATTATGAACCATCGCTTATGTGGATTCTTACTTTTAGTGTCTTTTTTGTTTAGCATTTTGGATGCCCAGCTGCACCATTTGTTTGCCTTACATTTTCCCTACTTCAAAGATGTGGAAATTTCTAATTTTTTCTGTGACCCTTCTCATCTCCTAAATCTTGTTTGTTCTGACAACTTCTCCAGTAGCATTGTCAAGTATTTTACTGGTGTTGTATTTGGTTTTGTTCCTATCTCAGGGATACTTTTCTCTTATTATAAAATTATTTCCTCTATTCTAAAAATTGCATCATCAGGTGGGAGGTTTAAAGCCCTTTCCACATGTTGTTCTCACCTCTTAGTTGTTTGTTTATTTTATTGGACAAGTATTGGTGTGTACCTTGGATCATCTTTATCAGAATATCCTAGAAATGTTTTGGTGGCCTCAATCACTTACACTGTGGTCACCCCTATGTTGAATCCCTTTATCTATAGTCTGAGGAACAGGGACATTAAAAGTGTTCTTAGTAGAATCCATGTGAGAACCATCAGATCTTAGAACTGTGGCAAAATGTTTAAATGTTGCATGGAAAAGAGAAAAATAAGCATCCAGCCCACTAAATTTCTTCTTGTATCACATTACTTTTGTTGTGTAAGTACTTTAATTTCTAAGCATGTTTAATAATAGAATGTGGATAAGTAGGATGGAGGATGTAAGAAATGTGTAGGTTATTTCTTGTAACAGGTGTAAGTTTTATTTGAGAAGATAAAATCTGGAGATTGATGATGATGTATGCACTGCAATGAGTATAATTAATGCCACTGAGCTCTACACTTAAAAACTGTTAAGTATATAAAGATTTTTAAATTTAATTTTACCATGATATGAATGAATACATAAGTCAAATTTATCTTAGAAGAAATGAAATGAAACAAATAAATATTACATATGAACCTTCTTCTCAGTAGTGGAAAAATGCAGAAACTTTTGTGAACCTTTATTTTCACTTTCTCTTCTTCCCACATTAATATGTGAAAGGTTTTCTTTTTCTTTTTTATATTGTAATTCTTGGGGTTCACTGTGGCATTTATAAAAGTTCTTATAATATATCAAATTTATCATACTTGAATTCACCCCCTCTCTCATTCTTCTTTATCCCCTCTCCTGCCATTCCTGGAACAGTCTCAACAGATATCATTTGTCCATTTACATACAGATGTACACAGAATTTATACCATATTAACTCACCTACACCCTCCTTCTCAAACTAGTACCAACATGCTTAGACAGGACCTGTTCTACCCTCCTATTTTTTGAGTTTCTTTTTATGGTGTTGGGGCTTGAACTCAGGGCATACACCTTGAGCCACTCCACCAGCCATTTTGTGAAGGGTGTTTTTTGAGGGTCTCGTGAACTATTTGCCTTGAGCTGGCTTGGAACCATTATCCTCCTGATCTCTGCCTCCTGCATAGCTAGGATTATAGGCATGAGCTACTTTCAACTGGTCTGTTCTCTGATTGTAAAAGAAAAGAAATGACATTTTTGTTTAAGAAATCTAGACAGGGAGTTTCCTTGTGATATTTCCATCTATATATGTATTAGAACCTGAATTGGTTCATCTCCTGTATTTTTCTCCTTTCTACTTTAGTCCCCTTCTTATGTTGATTTCAACATGTTTAAAGATTCTATATTCATTCTTGTATAGGAAGTATATCAACCATATTCACTTTCTTAACTTCCTTATTTTACCCTCCCTTTCTTGTATGTGAACTTGGCTTAGTGTGACCTGTTTGTCATAATATTATTTTCATTCCATTACTTTGTATTACCTGGACTAACCTGGCTAATGATGAGATATGGCAGTTAAGCCTGCATGGGCATACAATTGTAAATAATAAGATACACCTCATACACTTCAGTTTGACTGTTCCATGTCCAGCACACATCATATAAGTTTCCCTCATTTCACTGGTATCTACTTCCACTGGTATTCAGGAAGCTGTTATCTTAGCCTGCATTCATAATGATCCTGAGAACAGAGTCTGAGTCTTCATTGGGCACTAGGCAGTCATGGGCTTAAGGACCTACATCCTCTGTTCCTTAATATGTACCATGATAATACCTTTGAGGTCCATCTAGTAACAATTCTTCCAAAATAACTCAAAAGAATTCATCTTGAATAGGAAATAATATTTCCATTTGTCCACAGCAGAAGAGATGGTGGTGCCCTGAGATGAGAATGAGAAAATGAACATTTTAAGCTGCTATATGATGTGATGCAGCATACACAAAATGTTTCAATCACTACATCTCTGTGCTGATACTGCTTAATAAAAACAGGTAAAATAACACTTACCTCCACAAGATATATTCCAGATATTATGATTTTAGAAAAAAAAAATTTACTCATTGTAGCTTTTTGTACATCAATAATTCAGCCACTAAGAAAACATTGAGTTTACTGATAAATACAGCTATCACAAAATACTGGAAACTTGGAATGTGGTGAAAGTCTAAAATGGCTTATCCCATATCTAAGGTTCACCTGAACCTTCACCTTGTGTACCATTTTTTATGAGCTTATAAAGTTTCAGCTTTACTTTAATGTTCACATAATTTAATTCCAGATTTTACAGTGTTTACAAATGCCATATGTTAAGGGAAGTCATGCAATTTCTTACAATAAAATAAGTTGTACTTAAATGGTTTTTAATAACCTTTAATATGTGTCAAAACTTTTTTCTTAAATGGATAGGGCAGTTGATTGTTCTCTAATTTTTTAAAAAATTCTGTGACCAGGACTTTTTATTTCTGATATTCTTGTACTTCTACCATACTTCAGTGTCTAAAGGAGGTGTGTATAGAATAACACAGAATCCAAAAATGCAAACATTGAGGAAGATAGTATTTGTGAAAACTGAGAAATATTGCTGATGGTGAATTGTTTTCAAGTGTTAATACTTGAATTCAACATATATGCAGAGAGATGGGGACCAAATTACCTATTTACTTTTCACAACTCTGTTCAAATTCAAATAGTGTCAGAGAAATGTAAGAGTGTACCATTTAGCAAATGTCTCATATCATGGGACTGCTGGAAGATCCAGAATTGCAGCCCATCTACTTGGGAGTGTTGACCATCTACAAGGTCACAGAATCTTATACCACACTGTTATTTTAAATTCCCACATCTATAGCCATCTATACATTTTTCTTTCCAATCTGCCCTAAGAGGACATCTGTTTCACCATCACAGTCCCTGATAGGACAATTTTTAACTTCTTGTACTTTACTTTTTAAAAAGGACATTTTTTTGTTTTCCATGGCTATCAGAAGTAATATAATCACTGTGGAAATCCATGCCATTTAGTAGTACTTTTCAGTAGTCATGAATTCAATCTCTTTTAGACCTTTTTCAATATTGATTCCCAAGATTTTCACTTCTTTCTATGCATCATCAAAGACACTCAAATTATCAATGACCTAAGATCAAGAACATTACACATACCAGGTCCATTACCCCAGCAAAAGAAAGCCAGCAAAATTAAGAAAATAATAGAGAATAGGAAATAGACTTTTATTTTTCAGAAGACTTAAAAATTAGTCAAAGACTCCTTTATTTATTGTAAGATAATAAAACAAACTCCCATTAACTAGAGTAATTAAATGACTATATGATAAGCAGGACTGCATATATGAACACGGTTTCAGAGTTAATAGATTGCAATCAGAAAACATTTATGTGCCAGTCATCTTCCAAATTCTTTTTATTCATTTATTCACACGTGCATACTTTGTTTGGGCCATTTGTCCCTCCTGTCCCCCTCCCCTTCACCATCTCTCCAACAGCCCTCACTTCCAGGCAGAAATTTTTTTGCCCTCATCTCTAATTTTGTTGAAGAGAAAACATAAGCAATAATAAGAAAGAGAAAGCATTTTTGCTAGTTGAGGTAAGGATAGCTATACAGGGATATTCCTAGCATTTCTTCCATGTACAAATGTGTTACAACCCAAGTTGATTCATCTCAAACTGACCTTTTCAGTAGTTCCTTATCCCCTTTTCATATTAACTTCTGTGGCTTTAAGGTTTCTGTACAAGTTCCTTTACACTGGGGACATAAAACACTTTCATGTTTTGGGTTTCTTGCCTATCAACAAATCTCCCCTATGTGCTCTCCCCTTATCCTGTGACCCAAGTCCAACCACATTGCTATATCTGCTGTAGATCTAAAGTCCAATTATGAGGGAGAACATACGATTAATGGTCTTCTGAGCCTAGCTAACTTTGCTCAGAACAGTGTTCTGCAGTTCCATCCTTTTATTTGTCAGTGATAACATTTCATTCTTCTTCAAGTCTGAGTAAAATTCCATTGTGTATAAATACCACATTTTCTTAATCCATTCGTCAGTAGTAGGGCATCTTGCCTGTTTCCAAAATGTGGCTATTGTGAATACCACTGCAATAAACATGGGTGTGCAGGTGCCTTTGGAGTAACTGTGTCACATTCTGTTGGGTAAATCACCAGGAGTGGTATTGCTGGATCATAAGGCAGATCTATGTTACGATTCTTAAGAAGCCTCCACATTTTTTTCCAGAGTGGTTGCACTAACTTGCTTTCTAACCAGTAGTGTGTTAGCATTCCTTTTCTCCACATCCTCACCAACACAAGTTGTTGGTGGTGTTTTTGATGCTGGTTATTCTAACAGGGGTGAGGTGAAATTTTAGTGTGGTTTTGATTTGCATTTCCTTTATGACTAGAGATGGTGAGCATTTTTTGCATTTGTTTTTTGGCCATTTGAATTCCTTCTTTTTAGAAAGTTCTGTTTAGTTCAGTTGCTCATTTCTTTATTGGTTCATTGGTTTTGGAAGACTTTAGTTTTTTAAGTATCCTGTATATTCTGGTTTTCAGTCCTTTCTCTGATGTATAGCTGCAAAATATTTTCTCCCACTCTGTGGGTGGTGTCTTCAGTTTAGAGACCGTTCCTTTTGTTGTGCAGAAGCTTTTAGTTTCATGAAGTCAGATTTGTCCATCCTTTCTCTTATTTACTGAGCTTCTGGAGTTCTATTGAGGAAGTCTTATACCTATTAGTTTCAGAGTGAATCATGCTCTCTCCTGTACCAAGTTCAGAGTTTTGGGTCTGATATTAAGGTCCTTGATTTGTTTGAGTTGACACCAGTAGAGGGTGTTAAACATGAATCTACTTTCAATTTTTTGCAGATCACATAACCACTTTCCCCAACAACATTTGATGAGGAGGCTCTCTTTTCTCCATCATATATTTTTAGAGCCTGTGTCAAAAATAAGGTGGGCATAGCTTTGTGGACTCATATCTGGGTCCTCCATTTTGTTCCACTGGTATTCATGTCTGTTTTTGTGTTAGTACCATGCTATTGCTTTGTAATATATTTTGAAGACTGTTTTTTTTATCACTGTGAATTGAGTTTGCTGTTTATTTTTTTATTTTTATTTATTTATTTTTTTTCTGCTGAATTCTATCAGACCTTTATTATTTTTTTTTTCATTTTTCTTTTATTATTCATATGTGCATACAAGGCT